GTTTCGGCGACTGTCATTACTCAGTTATTGAGCTGGCATTTGAGAACTTTGGGTGCAGTGTGCCTCTGAATATCAATTCCTGGGAAGCTCTAGTGAGGAGAAGGCTTAAGGACTTCCCATAGGCATCTGGTTGGCCTCTGTGAGAACAGAGTGATGGTCTAAGATCGACCTTTGACCTGAACCAGCAAGGCTCTGCTTACATCACTGCTTACATTACTGGTATTGCTGGTCTCCTTTCAGGGCCCTTCATTTGGCAGGAGGTGGATATTGCTGTACAGCCTGGATTCTTGTCCAGCCAATTCTGGTTGCCAATTTGGGATTTTCTGTGGAGCTGAGATCCAAAAGTGTTTGAAGCTTATTTTAAGAAAGTAGCATGAAAGGTCCGATTCCATTGTATTTATTTATCCTGCAGTTCCAGCAGTTTTCTTCTAGAAATAAAGTTTACTTCGAAAGTTTGGGATCCCCCCCCCCCCGCTTTAAAAACTTGTGCAAATTTTCATTAAAACTTCATTAATTCCTCTTACCTTCATGGACTGACCCACAAACTTTCTTTCTTTTATTTGTTCAGGGCAGAGAACCAGTGTGGTGTAGTGGTTAAGAGCGGTAGACTCGTAATCTGGGGAACCGGGTTCGCGTCTCCGCTCCTCCACATGCAGCTGCTGGGTGACGTTGGGCTAGTCACACTTCTCTGAAGTCTCTCAGCCCCACTCACCTCACAGAGTGTTTGTTGTGGGGGAGGAAGGGAAAGGAGAATGTTAGCTGCTTTGAGACTCCTTCGGGTAGTGATAAAGCGGGATATCAAATCCAAACTCTTCTTCTTCTTCTCTTGCTAATAGGGGTCATCATTTCTCTCTTCTACTGTTGGAATCTGAAGTGGGAGAATTGATCTTTCTCTTTCTTCAGGGACTTCCTGGGGTCCATCAAGATTATAATATTATAAAAGCCAGCCAGCTTCATTAGACATCTTTGGAGCTTGTGGGGAAGTTACCTTTTACCAAATGCTTTAGAAATGTTAATCCTTATTAACATTTTCTCATTTACTTAAAATGAGAAATGTCAGCTGCTCATTGTAATGTCGTGTTAATCTTTCTAAACACAAAGCACAGTATTACAGACAAATGCACTGCCTTTGTGTCAACCCTTTTGCCGTTGTTAGTATTCCCTTTCTCCCATTTACAGTTGTTATAAATAAACGGGACCCTTGTCCCACTATGCCTCACCTGACACAGTGACATTCTGCTCTTCATAAAGAAATTGTATACAGGAGCATCATGGGTTGTCCCCTGATGGTGAGGCTCAAGCATCATTGGTCCAGTCCTTGGAATACTCAGCCAATAGAGATGCACCAGGAACTTTTTCTTTCAACCTTTAAACAGCTGCCTAAAACTTTACTGTCCTGCCCAACTTACACTGGCAATTAAAAGTACATATTTCTGTAATGGTTAGTTGATAGTCTCTGGTTTTAAATTTGCATATGCCTTTATTATTTACGTGTATCATTGTAAGCTGTTTTGATCTTTTTTATGATACAGCTGATATGTTTAAAAATAAATAAATATTACCATCAGGCCCAGCAAAGGAATACATTCAAGGTCATTTAATGCAGACATCCTAGCCCATAATATGAGCTGCAGTAGGCTGTCTCACTGCCTTTCTCCTCTCCATAGCCTTGCAAACAAAGCACACCCTCATTCCTCCAAGGAAGATATGAATAATTACTGATAAACTCCAGGACAGATTGCACCATGCTTTGGAATGCAGTAAATAAATCAGAGGACAAGACAGTGATATTGAGAAAATTGACTGAGCTGGAAAATTGCATCCATTCCAAAAGCTCATGCAAGTGCAATGGAAAGGAAGAAAAATGGAAGCTGTTTCCACTGAGTGGAGTTCCTTAGTCTTCATTGAGTCACAATGCTGAAAGAGAGTCGTCATCACACAATGTTCAAATCCAAGAGCCTTCTTCATAAGTATTGCTTATGAAGTTGTTTCTGGGAAATAACATGAATTAGCTGGACTTTTTAGTCTTCATACTGTGGTTTTTTAATGTGGTTTTAATTGATCTACTTTGTAGGCAGAGTATGTTCTGCAATCCAATCCCATTCACTCACAGTTAAGCCCAACCGAGTTCAGCAGGAACTTCTATGAAATAAGCTTGGGACTGGGGACTTAACATTCTTGATGCCTACAAGGCTCAATGGTAGATCATTTGGCTTTGCAAGCAGAAGGTCCCAAATTCAGTCTGCAGCATCTCCAGAAAGGGCTGGAACAAGCCTCCCTGCCAGAAACCTTGGGGAGCCACTGCTAGTCAGTGTTGACCACTCAGAGATAGATGGACCAATTGTCTGACTCAGTATAAGGCAGCTTCCTATGGTCCCATGGCTTTGGAACACACCTTTATTTGCTGGGCTTCCCTTGAAATTCCCCATGTCTAAGGACTATCATTGCTCGGCCTAGGTCCCATCCTGAGCAGGAAGGCTTTGTTGCCCTTTCCTTTGTGAAAGTGATGAGATGATAAAATAATAAACACTCAGAACAGCAAATGGTCAGCTTGGCTAAGCAGATTCACTCCTGTAGCCGGGACACCTTTTCTAGCTAGGAAGATGCTTCACCATGTGTGGCAGCTGTATACAAAACCGTGAGTTCCCAGTCTGATCTCCCAACTGCTTGCTTATATGAGCATCTAGGTTATTCTGCTCTTCCCTATAAGTCATGGGTGGCCTAGGGGTGGCCCACTTTTGGCCAAGGGAGTCAGACCTTTGTCTCCCTGCACGGACCAGCTTTGATGGGTAGGTGGGTCGTGATGGTGTCAGCTGTCATGATGGCATCAGCTGACTGATAGCAGCCCCCTACAGTCTTCCCACCCAACACTCTGGCAGTCCTGGATCATTCTGGGTGTCCCAAACTAACCCAGGATGATCTAGAGTTATCTTGACCCAACTCAGGTCAAGCACCAATTTCCTTGAATCAGCCCTATTTTAAAGGGCCATCCTTACCATCATTGAACCTTGCCCAGTATACCCATAATACCTTGTCGTGTCTCACAAGGGTTCTTTTTTTTAAAAGACCTTTTGACCTGTGAAAAGAAGAAAAGAGATTGTTTAAGAGCTATGGGAGATGTCTTGCGATGAAAGCTTTTAATAGCCTCAACCTGCTAAGTTTTATTGAAAAAGGTCAAGTGGTGGCTTGACCGAGGGGTGAGCTCTTACATAAAGGATGAACACAAAAGGTCCCATTTGCTCTGATTAAAGCGAAATCCAGGCACTTTCCCCAACTGAGCTTGTTCAGTCAATGCTGGATGTAAGAAGAATGCACAGAGTGCATAGACTGTGATGGAGGTTTGAAACCCCATGGAAGAATGACTGGGTTGGGAAACAAAGTGCAGCAATCTCCCTCTTTGCTACAGGTGAGAAGCAGTCCTGTCACAGAATGCAGGGTGAAAATTTGAAGCCCCCCTAGCATTTTCTTTTGTTGATTACATTTATATCCTACCTTTCCTCCAGAGCTCGATACTTCCCCTCCTGCCCATTGTATCATCACAACGACGCTGTGAGGTGGGTTCATCTGAGAGCGAGTGGCCAGCTGAAGGTCACCCAATGAGCTGAGTGGGGATTTGAACCCTGGTCTCCCTGGTGCTAGTCCAGCACTCTAACCACTACACCACACTGGCAGAATGGGCAGAATGAGCCTCTCAGGCTCAGAGGCCAACTGAGGTTCCCCTGGCCTGTTCTGTTTGGCCCTTGGAAATGTCCTCAGACCACACGCCCAGCTCAGCCACATCTTCCTTGAGTGTCATTATTGTTGTTTTCCTGTCTGGAATATATCCTCAAACACTCTAATAGCTCTTGCCTGCCTGGATGAAGGACAGTGAGGGGCGTGCAAATGTGTGTCAAAATTAGCCCACACGAAGAAAAAGCTAAGGCCAGAGCCATATGCTGAGGAAGGGTCAAGTAATGGTATGGACTAGGGGAGAGGTGAAAATATGAGGGAGTCTTCTAGGGAGCTGAGGCAAAGAAATGACCATGATTAGGGGTGAAAGGATGAAAATCGGGGGGGGGGTCAAGAAATAACAGGCTGTGGTGGAAGAGGAATTAATAAAGCCTTTGGGTGAAGACTTGATTTTTAAAGAAAATAAGAAAAGCTAGCCAACTTGTACAAAAGATAAATTTTTGGTTGGTTGCACAGTCTGTTTTGTCTCTGGCCCCACCCACCACAGGAATGTGCCCCTCCCAGAAGGTTGTCTAGAAGATAATGTGGACCTTGCGGTGCAAGAGGTCTCCCTCTCCCCCACACTAAAGAAAACCAGACTGTAAAATACTTCTAGAAGTGTCTGATTCACCCCAGAAAGTATTTTTCATGAAATAGAGCTGAGCAAGGATGAGCTCATCATTCCCTGTTTCCAAAAAATGTGCAAACAAATTCAGTCTAAGGTCCCTTGCTCTTGCCATGCTTACTACCCAGGATAGAATAGGAAGTTGTACATTCCAATAAAACACAGCTAGAATGTCCCATGAAATATATCAAGACATCTCTATGTCAGGGGACTGAATAGGATATTTGTAATGGGATCAGTCCTCCTTCTGCCTGTCTGGTTATCTGCACTGGATGTTTGCGATGTGTTATATAAGCACCATGATATCTGGCAGACTAGACTTCAACCTTTGTCTCAGGAGGAGATTAGCTCTGCATTGTACTTGCAAATGTTTTATTTAAAAAGCTGGGCTCACTCACTCCACTTGCATGTCTTTTGTTAGAAGCTGTGGACCTCTTGGGGTTTGTGTGTGTGCATATGCAACCTTATACAGTGTCAAGACCATCTAGTTCAGAATAGCGAGAGTGGGGGACCTGTGGCCCTCCAAATTTTGTCGTCCTGCAGCTCCCACCATCCCTACGCATTGGCCATACTGCTTGCACATTGCTTTCCCACCCCATGCACTCATCTCCCCTGAACCCAGAGCGATTCAACCAAGCCAGCTGGAATCAGAGCACCACACATTCAATTGTATTGTCAGTTATCTTGGTTTATTATTACTTTTGCAGACACGTTTCACAAGGTTTCAGAATAGAGCTCATCTGCTGTTCAGGGTCAAAGGGTTTATCCATACAGAGAGTGGGTTTGTAACATTTGTGGTTGCAGGACTGATCTAGCCTGTCTGACAGCAGTTCTTTGGCGTCTTAAGGAGATGTCTCTGTTTCTCAGCTTTGCTGTCAGAGGTCCTTTCAGCTGGGAATCTCAGAGGATGCCCTGAGACCTTCTGCATCCATGCAAAGCAAGCGCTCTGCTATAGCTCTTCTCCTCCAGCTCTTACAGTACCCCGAGTGGCAATGGATTCTGCCCTGTCCATCACAGCTTGTAGGTTCAGCTCCTGGATTTGGAAACAAGGATTCACAAATGCCCAGGAGCAGATTGCCAGTTTTTGATTTCCCAAGTTATGGTGCCTGGATGGAGCCATCAGGCAGAGTGAATGACAGATCCAGGGCAGGCAGGCAGGCAGTTTTATTGCACATAGCCAAAGGCTGCTGCAATGTACACAGAAACATTCAACAATTAAAAAAAAAAATTCTGGATTGATACAAAAACTTAAAATATTTATATTATCAAGACATTACCTACTCTAAACAGAGCTATAAAAGTACCTTAAGACATTTTAAAATAAAATTTATAAGCTAAGATTATCACATGGCCACTAATATATTAAGAAATAATGTTCATTGATACAATGTGCAATTATATTCGGAGTTTGGTGATGAAGATAGAATATAGCTTGATGTAGACACGGTCAAATAAATTCATCTCCTTTACAGTCGGTGGCTACCTTGGCTATATAATTTGCTCTAATTTTCCTAGCTGCAGTTGCAAAGAGTGCTACATGCCAGGTCACATACTTATCTGTGTCTGTGAGGAGATATAAAATCATGTCAGAAGAGTTTTGGCCAGGGGACCTTGTCATTATAGGTGCTAAAAGTCTTTCTCTTGCTTCATTATATAAGGGGCAGTGCAAGATATAATGTATAAGGTCCTCTACTTCAGGACATCCCCTAATGCAAACACGTTAGTTTGTTGGTATGCCTCTGTGTCTCCCATCTCTATAAGCAGGGTTTATTGTATTTAATCGTAACTCTGTAAAAGCTTTCCAAAGTTGTACAAAAGTCAATTCATTAAAATAAGATGTATGTTCATAGACCTCTCTAAGTTTAAAATATAATGGGGCGCATGTAGATGTGTACATAGAGTTTAGATCGTTTTTAGTTGCCACTGCCCTTATGGTCCGTTTAAAGATTTTTTTCTGGGACAGATCCAGGGCAGTGCCTGAAAGACTCCAGCAAAAAGCCATAGTAACAGCAATCTGTGTTTGCTCCCGTAGCTGGTGCTGAGCAATAGGGGAGATAGGCTGGTGTTCTCTAATCCCTGTGCCCATTCACCCTGTTTGGAGAGAAAGGTTTTCAGCATGCACCAGAAGCACAGATTTAATGGGGCATCATGCTTCACACCTTATTCCTAAAGGGAGGCTGTCATGGGGAATGAGGCTAGCAATAGTTGCTAGTCATGATAGGTTTGTCTTAGGGGTGTATGAATCTGTCAGTTTCAGTTTCCTCTCAGTTTCTTATTTTTCCAGGCTTAAATTAAGATCTCCACATTTCCACATCAGCTTGTGGTTTCTTTTTTTTTAAGTCCCCATGAAAATTCACCAGTAATTTAGTGCCAGTGACTCCTAATATTCACATCTGCATGGAATTTTGAACAAATGTGCATGTATTTGCAGAACAATCATCTGCAATAGAATGTGTTTTTATATATTATACCTGATATTTGTTGGTGGCGATGAAAAATACAGATTTATAAAAAGGATAATTCCCTGGATGGCATGATCCTGGTTTGGGGCAAGTGCTTTTTGGTGAGAAAACTCCAGCACAGATTTAAAAACACGAAGCATGCAGCAAAGTAAAGTGTGGAGATATAGGCTATTAAAGCCTTAAAATATGCCCTTGTGAGTTCTTTCAAAAAATTCCCCTCTTCCCCCACATAGAAAAGGACTACATATTTGGTAAGTTTAAAATACTTTACTTACACACTCTCCAAAGGTCAAGTTCATGTGCATATCTATACAGCGTTTAGAAAAAGTTACACACGCAGTGAAACTTGGCTCAGCATCAGTGGTGAAAGTTCCTAAATTATTGGTCTAGGAACTCAAGAGTGACTTTTAAGACCCATGCAGTCTGAGCTGCAGCAACCAGCTCTGACCTCCTCACACATTGAGTTTCTCTGGTAGATTGGAAGCTTTATCACCTAGTCCCTCCCAAGGGGAGCTAAGCCTGTCAGGACAGCTTACTCTATGGTGTTAACCCCTTTGTGCATTAATTAGACTACAATATGTTGGTTATATGAGACTGGTTAACTCACAATATTGATATTATATCTTAAGTATCTCTGTGTTAATTAATGCACATTAAGTGCATTAATGCACTGTGTCATTTTCACGTTAGAAAAGCCCTGCTGGATCAAACTAAAGATCCGATTCTTCTCTCCCAGTGGCAATCAGATGCCCATGGGATGCCCATACGCATGAGTTCTTTAGACTCTTCCACTAAAGATCTACAGCAACTGTTATTCAGAGGCACACGGCCTCTGATACTGAATGTAGTACAGTCTAGGGATGGGGAGAAAATTGATTTCGTTTGCATTTAAAGGTGGTCTAGATTCTTCTGGGAAGATGCAGCTGGTAGTCCAGGAGGTCTTTTCGCAGGGAAATGTGATACCTAGTTCTCCTTCCTGCCCGATGCTCCACCCACTGACAGCCCTGGATCCCTTCGGGGCATCCAAACTGACCCACGGAGATCTGTGGCTGTCTCAGCCCAAGTTGTCTGAGACCCAGTTCCCTCCAAACAAGCCTGATTTGCATTGGGATTCAGGACAAATCTGGTGCACAGTGCTTGTCTACTCTTTTATTAGATAAATGTGCCACATTTGATGTGGAGAGTACTGTCAGAAACCAGATGATACAGCAGAGGGACCACATAGGTCCTCTCTCTTTTATGTGCCAAAACCGAGCATTCTTAAGTTAATGTTTAAAATGGAATATGGTCTGGAGTCTGTCAGCACCCACCAGTGTCTGTTTGCCTGCCGAAGAAGCTTCAGTTTATCTCAGCCAGGCCAAGGATCCATGGCCCCTGCCCCACCCCAAAATTAATGATTGATCAAAAAAATTGGGAGTAAATAGATATAAGTGGCATAACAAACTTTTCCGCCGCCTTTGTGAAGCAGCCCAAGGGAAGCAAACCACGATCGTATCATCTTCCCTTTAAACTTGTGCAATTGTCAGGGGACAAAAATGAAGACCATCATCATAACCACCTTGTTGCTCATGTTAACGTATAGCCATGCAATCGAGAGAGGTAAGGATTTTTTAAAAATATACATATGTATGCAGGCACACGTTGTGTGTTGCTGCTGTGGAAACTTCCATTGGAAATTTTGGGTTGCCTCCGACAGCAAAGAGAAAAGGTTCAATTTCGTTCTTTCTTAGTCTGTGTCAAGACCTTCATAATACGAGCAGAAACGTTTGAGAGGATTTCCTTGTGCTTGAACAAGAAATTGCTGTTTCAATGGGTTCGTAAACTACACTGATTGCCTCTGGTCCTTGCTTGGCAGTGAGAAAGAAACTCATTATCACTTGCTTGGGAAAAATGTGTTAAGCAAGTGAATTTGTAAGAGTGTTGAGAAGAGAAATATTCTGTGTGTGTGTGTGTGTGTGTGTGTGTGTATGAATTGCTTGGGCATTATATGAACTCCTAGATTGTGTGTCCCCGTCTTCCACATGTATGTTAAAAGGTCTGAAAGAGACCCATCCCAGGTCACAATTTGTGAAAATGATTTTGCTCACCTACATGTATCACTGGCACCCCTGCTTGCTCAGAACTTAGAGGATGGAGACCTTTGAACCTCTATGAACCATTGGGTCCATTTAATTAATAAATAAAACAATTTATAAATATTAATAAATATATAACATACTGTGATGGCCTGGGATTCCGATTCGGAGGATGAAACAGAGGAATCCCGGCCTGCACAGGAGTCCCCGCCTCCAGGGCCGGCTGAACTGGGGCAAGGCCTTGACGCTGAAGAGCCTGCACCTGTGGCAGTGCATCAGGAGCTGGCCCCAGGTGAAGCCCTTCGGGCCCCAGAGGGGCTTGATGACTCAGTGGCCACAGGTGAGCCTCCTCCAGGGCCCAGTAACCCTTCGGCCTCTCCTGATCTGCAGAGGCTTAGGGCAGAGAGGCGAAGGGAACTGGTTGCCCCCAGGAGGAGTGCTCGCCTTAAGGCCAGAGGAGGCGGGGCTCCTGGGGACCGGGACCGCCCCCTGGCCTTAGAAGAGGATAAAAGCCCAGTCAGCCCGGCCCCAGGTTGCGGGAGCAACGTCGTTGTTGGCTTCGGATCTTCCTGTGTTCCTGATCCCTGCTCGGCTTCCTGTTCCTGACTATCCGGTACTCCTGTTCCCTGCTCGGCCTCCTGTTCCCGACCATCCGGTGTTCCTGTTCCCTGCACAGCCTCCTGTTCCAGCACTCCTGTTCCCCGCCCGGCTCTCTGCCTCGGACCTTGCCCCTCTTCGTGTGGACTCTGCTACACCCAAGGTACCTTACCCCGGGACCAGCACAGTTTGCTCCCGCCAAACCCGCACTCCCCCTTCGTAGGGGTGCGTTCGGGAAAGAGCCAGAGGCCATGGCTGACCAGGCGGCTGCACTGGTGGCTTTGGCCCAGAAGAACCAGGCCTTGACTCACACCGTGCAGCAGCTCAGTGACGCGGTTGTGGCACTTCAGCAACGCTTGGAAGCCCTACCGGCTCCTGGGGCCGGCGCCCGGCTCCTGGCAAGTACCCAGTGGCTTTGCCTGAGAAATTTGATGGAGCCCCGGCCAGCTTTCCCATGTTCCTGGCCCAGGCCAAGCTGTATATTCAGAGGCGAGCCCGGAACTTTCCTGACGATCGCACCAAGGTGCACTTTTGATTAGTTTGTTAAAGGACCAGGCGGCCAAGTGGGCGTTGCCGCTACTCAGGCAAGACTCCCCTTGCTGGGCAGACTATACGGGGTTTTGCAATCGGTTGGAGGCCGCGTTCGGCAACCCGCAGAAAGGAGTCAAGCCAACCGGGGCGATTCGGCGTTTGAAACAGGGCAAGTCCACGGTGGCCGCATATACCACGGAGTTTCGGCTGTTGGCACAGGACTTGACCTGGAATGATTCGGCACTGCGGGACCAGTATCTCGAAGGGCTTTCGGACGAGGTACTGGACCAGTTGGCCACAATGGAACGCCCCACCACGCTAGACACTCTCATTCAACGGAGTCTACAAATAGACGCACCGGTTGGAGGATCGTCGTCAGGCCCGGGGTCGCCGACACTTCCAGTTCACGGCACCAGCTTTTCCTGCAGACCCACGGTCACAACGGATTTAACGGAGGAGCATATGCACCACGTCGCAGATCGGCAACGACTTTCCCCAGCAGTGAAGGCGCGTCGTCTGGAGGGAAAACTCTGTCTTTACTGTGGCGGAAGTGGACACGTCGCTCGGTCTTTCCCTGAGAAACGCCAGCCGCAGAGAAGGCGCCAACCCCAGTAGCTGATGGCCCTAGCTGCCGGGGGTCCCAAACCGCGCAGAATGGGCCTGCATCAATGGACTCGCAACATCTTATGGTTCCGGTACGTTTATACCCTCCAGGTGGGCCCTGGATCCCCACCCATGCTTTGGTGGATTCAGGGGCAACCCGCTCTTCTATGGACGCTGCTTTTGCCGCCCATCATCAGGTGCCACTTCGGAACAAGCCAGTACCGGTCCAGGTGGAAGCGATTGACGGACGACTTCTGTGTTCAGGTGCCGTTACTCAGGAGACCCAGCCCCTGGTCCTGTGTTTCCAGCAGCACCGGGGAGTTGCGAACTTTGGACATTGCCTCTATGCCCCGCTTCCCCTGGTGCTCGGGATGGACTGGCTGGAAGCCCACAACGTTCAGATTCACTGGGTCAAACGGACCGTGCACTTCCAGACCCATGTTTCCCATGCTCAATCCGGGGCGCCGCGGCCACGCCCTCAGAGGAGGCAGCACCCACGCTCCCAGCCGTGTATCAGGACTACCAGGACGTGTTCGAGGAACGGGGGCAGACCAGCTGCCGCCGCATCGGCTCTTCGACTGCGGCATAGACCTCCAACCTGGAGCGCCTCTACCAGTGAGTCGCTTATATTCTCTAACAGAGCCAGAGCGCGAGGCTTTGCAGGACTTCTTGCGCAAGAACCTGGAGCGTGGGTTCATTAGGCCGTCCACCTCGCCTACCGCGGCACCAGTGCTTTTCGTTAAGAAGAAATGTGGGGAACTCCGCCCTTGCCATGATTACCGAGCCTTGAACAAAATTACCGTCCCAGACCGATACCCCTTGCCCCTTATCTCGGAGCTGCTGGAGCGGGTGCAAGGGGCACAGGTGTTCACCAAGCTGGACCTCAGGGGGGCCTACAACTTGATTCGGATCCGAGCCGGGGATGAGTGGAAGACAGCGTTTGGGACCCGGTACGGGCAGTTCGAATATTTGGTTATGCCTTTCGGGTTGTGCAACGCGCCTGCTGTGTTCCAACGCTACATCAACCACGTGTTTCCAGGACTTGTTAGACAATGTGCGTGGTGGTGTATTTGGATGACATACTGATTTACTCCCGTGACCCGGCTCGCCATGAGGGACATGTCCGGACCGTGCTGCAGCGCTTGCGTGAGCACCGCTTGTACGCAAAGCTCAGCAAGTGCGAGTTCCATCAGCGGACTGTGGACTTCCTTGGTCACCGGCTCTCTCCGGATGGGGTGCAAATGGACCCGGGGAAGGTGACAGCGGTTCAAGAATGGGCGGCACCCCGGAACCGCAAGGACCTACAACGTTTCCTGGGGTTTGCCAATTACTACCGGACCTTCATCGCTGATTATGCTCATCGCACCACCCCGTTGACCCGGCTACTGCGCCCAAAGACGCCGATGTCCTGGTCCAAGGAGGCAGAGGAGGCGTTTCAGGGGTTGAAGGCCTGTTTCCAGAGGGAACCAATCTTCCAACATCCTGACCCCGCTCGCCCCTTTGTGGTGGAGACCGCCGCCTCCAGTACGGATCTCGGTGCCGTCTTGTCTCAACAGATTGGGCCCGAAGCGCCACACTTACCCTGTGCCGTCTATTCCCGCCAGCACCTACCACCGGAGCGTAATCTATACTGTGTGGGAGCGGGAACTACTGGCCATCAAGGTAGCCTTTGAGGTCTGGCGCCACCATCTTGAGGGGCACGACATCCGGTGGAGGTAAGAACCGACCACCGGAACCTGGAGTACCTCAGACCACCCGCAAGCTGAACCAAAGACAGATCCGGTGGGCGTTGTTCTTTTCCCGGTTCCAGCTCTCGGATCCGCTACATCCCTAGCTCTCAGAATCTGAAGGCGGATGCCCTGTCCCGGAAACCTGAAGACAACGCAGACACGGTACAGCAAGCAGAACCCGCCACGATCCTACTCTCCGGCCCGCATTCCTGGCCACCCAGGAGGCGCAGCCACTGCAGGTTCGGGTGCGGGAACAGCAGCGGGTCGACGCTTGGGCCCAGGAACGACTCCGGGAGCTGGCTGAAGGGTCCAGCCCACAGTATCCGGGGGCTGGTCCTGCATCAGGGCCTCCTGCTGCACCACGGTCGTCTGTACATCCCGCCCGGGCCACTGCGGCTGGCGGGTCTCCGGAGGGCCCATGATGCCCCGGCAGCGGGGCCCGGGGGACGGTATCGGACCACCCATCTGGTCAGTCGTGAGTTTTGGTGGCCCCGCCTGAAGGCTGACGTGGCTCGCTACGTTGCTGGTTGTGATGTCTGCCGACGCGCCAAGGGGCCTACCGGGCGACCCCCGGCCTACTTCAGCCATTGCCAGTTCCACCGCGCCCTTGGCACACAGTTTCGTTGGACTTTGTAGTGGACTTACCCTCGTCTCGTGGCTGTACCTGCCTTCTGGTTTTCTCCGACCATTTCACCAAGATGGTGCACTGCGCCCCTGTCCATCTGTACCCACAGCCAAGGAAACTGCTCAGCTGTACCTTCAGCATGTCTTCCGCCTGCATGGACTACCTGAGTGCGTGGTGTCCGACCGGGCGTCTCAGTTCACATCCCGGTTCTGGCAAGCATTACACCAGACCCTCGGGACAGAGGGTCTGCCTCTCGGCAGCCGACCACCCCCAGACCGCTGGCCCGCCGGAACGGGCGAACGCGGTGCTGGAGCAGTACCTCCGGTGTTACTGCAGCTACCAGCAGGATGACTGGGTCGACCACCTGGCATTGGCGGAGTTCGCCTATAACAACGCGGTGAATGCGCCACCCAGCAGACCCCGTTCCAGGCCAGTTATGGTTATCATCCACGGCTGTTTCCAGAGGTGCTGCCCGGCATCCGCGGTCCCGGCGGTGACGGAGTGGCTTCAAGAGCTCCAGTCCCAGCAACAGCTTTTGGTGGAGCAACTGCACCAGGCCAAGGAAGCGTACAAAGCCCAGGCCGACCGCCACCGCCAGGTGGGGCCGGAACCGCGTCGGGTGACCTGGTTTGGCTCTCCACTCGCCACCTCCACCCCTCTCGACCTTCGCGGAGAGTTGGACGCCCGCTCACCGGCCCGTTCCCTATCGTGGACCAAATCTCTCCTGTGGCATTCCGTCTCCGGTTACCCGCAACCCTGAAGGTCCACCCGGTCTTCCACAGGTCCCTTTTGGAGTCCGGGTGGCCCCACCCGGCAGAGTTCCACCAGAACCGTCCCCGACCGCAGCCAGTGTTGGTTCGGGGAGAGCCTGAGTACGAGGTGGAACGCATCCTGGACTCCCGATACCGCAGGGAAAGCTGCAGTATCTCATTGACTGGAAGGGAGTACGGACCGGAGGACCGTTCCTGGGAACCAGCGGCCCAATGTCCATGCACCTGCCTGCCTCCGAGAGTTCCATGCGACGTATCCCGGCAAGGCCGGGTCCGGACCCTCGGTTGAGGGGGCCTGGGAGGGGATGGTGTGATGGCCTGGGATTCCGATCTGGAGGATGAAACAGAGGAATCCCG